CTTGTCACTTCATCATTGAGTCATCCTTAACTGTTAAGCACAGACAGCACAGGGAGACATTTGTACTTTGATGACAGCAACTCATTTTCAAAGCGTACATTAACCATTTTAAAGGTCACTTATTATGCAAAATCCACTTTTTCATGTATTTTATACATAAACATGTGTCCCCTCTGTGTAAAGAGATTATGAAAGTTTCAGGAAAAAATATTCGCTCACTTTTTGTCCTTATCCATTTATATAAAAACCTGTCTGAAAATTTGCTGATCAGATTTTGGCCACTTTGTGATGTTATAACGATTTTTTGGATTGTGTAACCATTAGCCAATAACCCACCAAGGTACACCCCCCCCACCCCCACCCCCCCCCCCCCCCCCCCCCCCCCCCCCCCCCCCCCCCTTATCACCTGAATCTCCTCCTAGAGCACCATTAGGCGCGTTCACACCAGAGTACTTTTCCCCGTACTTTTCCCATTTAGTTCCGCTAGTACCCCTTATGTCGCGTTCAGACCAAAAAGAGTACTTAGTGCCGGGAACTTTTACCCCCATTTTTAGTGCCTGCTAGAGAGGTGGTACTATCCTGGTACCAAAAAAGTACCAATTTCTATTGGCTGGGCGAATTGCAAACCACGCCCGTAAAACTCTGAAAAGTTTTGTGGCATTAGCATTATTAGCATTAGTTTTAGACCCACACACCAACGGAGAGAGAATAATTTATGGCAACACAAAAAAAAAAAACAGCAGCTTCTACTGAAGCCAGTCCCCAACTCCGGGGACTTCCGGCCGGGGACTTCGGGTGGCAGTATACGCCGTTAAGTTGTTTGCGGCCTGCCAGTAAACCCAAAGCAGAAGAAGAAGAAGTGACGTCAGCGGCTGATTTGCGTAATCTTCCCTCAGGGAACTTATTCCGGTGTGAACGCGATTGGTACTTAGTGCCCTGGGGTACTTAGTGCCTGGGGTACTAAGTGCCGGCACTAATGGCGCGTTTCCACTGCAGCGGGTAGCCCCGTTTAAGCGTCCTTAACCGTCCTCAAGCGGCCAGGCCGGTTTTTGGTGGCGTTTCCATATAGCCTAGTACCGGCCAGCGGGTACTTTTTCCCTCTTTTTCCGGCCTCATAAAATCGTGGTTCCCTCAGACCAGGGCCAGGGCTGAACTAGTGACGTCAACACTCTCGACTGCTGATTGGTCAGAGAGAATCGTCACAAGATTGCGCGCGAGTTCATCCCTAGCGTCGCATATATATCTAGAAGCAAGCTTGCAGCATTTTTATACACAGCATTTTGTAAACGGAGGAGCTACAAAAATGGCTACTTCTAAGAAAAGCACACCGTGGTCGACCGAGGAGGTGACGACGTTCCTACATCTCATTGGGGATGATCAAATCCAGCGGGAGCTCGACGGAACAACTCAAAATGTGAACAAAAACAAAGCCGATCGCCCCGCCTACACTGCGTTGCTACCCCGGTCCTAAACTGTAATGGAAATGCGCCACGGCCTGGGCTGGCCAGCGAGGCAGCCCGAGGCCAGAGCGAGGACGCTTAGGGACGCTTAAACGGGACCCCGCTGCAGTGGAAACGCGCCATAAGTACGGCAAAGTACTTGGTGTGAAAGCGGCTATTGAGTTCTTTTTAACCAAATATCTCTCAGAGGGACGGGGAGTGGCTCCTTATTTTCATCTAAAGTAACAGACAGAGAATCAGCACTATTGAAACAGGGCTGAAACAGAGGGGATTATGGGATGCTGCAATGATCTGTTTGGTATTTCAGACAAACACTTCAGAGACATGTTTTGTATATATCTGAGACCTATTATATATTGATGAAAAACAGTATAATAGGGGACCTTTAAGCAACAATGGAAAGGAGTTATTCCTCACGCGACTGAGCTGTTTTCACTCCTTCAAAAAGCAGACATGAGAAGACTAAAACTAACAGTGTATTAATCCATCACTCAATACTTTCACAAACACACTGTTTGTATGTGGCTCTCAGCTCAAAGCCCATTGGTACCTCCTTCAGATCTTCAAAACTATAACTTTTGTCATTTCCTAAAACAGCCAATACTGCATTGTTTTTTACATAAAACCAAGCAGTTCGACTTCTACCAAATTGTAATGCTCATCCACCTTTATTTATTGCTGAACCTGGCCTATCCTGATAGAGTACATCAGAGCCTTGCTTTTGGCAGTTAGCATGTCTGATAACTAGCTGGGGATCGACTAACTCCTTGTAACAAATTGTGGCTAGCTAGTGTTAGCTGTTAGCCTGCTAGTCTTGTACTGTATGGGGTCGTTTCTAGATGGTGACCCAGATAGTTAAGGGTAGAATAGGTCCAAAGACATCAAGTCTGTGGCGGGCCGTCAGGGCCTTCAAGGTATTCAGAGAATACCCTGGAACACTCAGATAAAACAAACAAAAAATTGATTTAATTATCTAAATAAAATGAATAAATGAGAATGGTATCTGTGTTGTTGATCTGTAATATTACAGTGTTACGTTGATTTGTTTGTCCTTCTCGGACCATGCACTACGCATTTCAGTGGTTTTGTGACCAATCAGATCTCGTTCTGGGTCTGTGGGTAGAATAGAGTGGCGAAGTCACGCCCATCTACTTCCGGTCCATGGGACATTATTTCGGAAAAATAATGTATTGAAGTCAATGGAGAGAGAAAATGTATCTTTCGATCCAGTTTGAATTGTGCCATGAATTACACATATATGATGTTTGTCAATCTTAAAAAATAATCAAAGTCACAGTTTGTCGTAAAACTGTTGAAATATAAGACTATGAAAAATACGCAACTAGAAAGACTACAAATCCCAGAGTTGCGTAAGTGATGTCACAATTGTTTTTCCTCCACTAAGAGATAGATTATATCTAATATGGCGCTGATTTTAGCTATCTATATGGCGCTGGCTAAGATAAGATAACTTTAACAAGATGCCTGTGTGCTTAGTACCAGGTTTTATCATACCAGCAATGGGTCTTGCTCGTTCTTTCGCTTCCCGTCTGATGAAAGGACCAGGAGTGGCTGGATAAAGTTAGCTACCTAGCTAGCACGTTAGTTAGCATTACAGCCTTGTCATTTTTATTAGCCTTAATATTAAGTAACATCAAGTAACCCAAAATGTTAAACAGTAAGAGTAGTAGTCATATTTCGTGAACCCTTCGTAAAGAGTAGCCTACTGTCACCGGTGTGATCATTCTATAATACACAATTTAAGCCCGGGAGAGAAATGCTAACGCTAGCATCGGCGATCTTTTCTACTTCATGCTATCTGCACAAATGGTTGACATTAAACATTAAAAAGACCAGGCAGTTCAGAGAGAATCAAAGGAAGGCAGGCAGGCAGCTTTGCATGACATTCTTCAGGACGTGTTTCATTGTGGTGATAGTGAGGGGTAGTCAATCGTTTTGTTGACAAGACAGTAGTGACGGCCATCTTGGTGACGTGTGTTGTTCTGCGAGACCAGAGATGTAGTTCATTGAGCGTTTTAAATGTGTTACTTCACAGTTTTACGACACATTTTTTTCTTTTTGACTTGCAAAATTATCTTTTAAATTGACAAACATCATATGTGTAATTCGTGGCACAATTCAAACGGGATCGAAAGATAATCTTTCTCTCTCCATTGACTTCAATACATAATTTTTTCGAAATAAGGTCCCATGGAGGTCCACCGGAAGGGGAGGGACTTCGCCACTCTATGGCCATTTCTCAATCGCGAGGATGCTGGCTTGGTAGTCGCGTACTTCCAAGTCACTTCCTTCAGAAACGAAGCAAGTATGCTTCCAAGCCACGGCTTCGGAAAACGAAGAAGAATGGAACAGGCTAAGAAGTGTGCCACTCTCTCTCTAACGGTTTCAACATACACTGTACCGAAAATAAATACCTCACGATGTCTATCTAATTATGAACTTGCTTTACTTTCACGGAACACATTTTTGGTAATAACAAACAAATGTAACATATTTACCAACACATGTTCTACGCCACTATACTTACATTTAAATGTGTGCTGCGTCGGTTCAGCAATTCTCCGCAAGGGTTTTTGAAATTGGTCCGTGCGCAAAGCATTGTGGGGATCTTAAGGACGCAAAGCCTACCCATGTGCAGCCTCGAAATTTCCCCCAAACCAAGGACTCGGCCTCGATGGAATTCCAAGTATGCTAGAGATTGGAACAATCCTTCGGCGGCACTCGATTACGTAGCATCCTTGAAATATTGGCTTGGAAGCCAGAATCCTCGAGATTGAGAAACGGCCTATATCCTTCAACCACCAAGGTATTCTACATCCTTGATAGAATGCCCTGGCCGTTGCAGTGAATGAGAGCGTACGTTTGGACTGACAGTTTGATCAACCAATCATATATTGATTTGTAGCCAATGGGCGTATTCTTTCAGAGTTTCCCTCGGTTCCAGGGTACTCTAGTTACCCGCTAGTAGGCCCGATAGTTAACTGGCTCGAGACAGAGGAGTTTCTCAATCGCGAGTACGCTTGCTTGGTAGCACATGTCTTCCGAGTCACTTCCTTCAGAAGCTAGGCAAGAATCCTTCCTGGCATTCGGAAAACGAAGAGTGGAACAGGCTAGCAAGTGTGCAGGTGTGTGTCATATGAGAGGCCCCGCCTTACATTTTCCACCACAGATTTGGGGAAATTGGTCCGTGCGCAAAGCATTGTGGGGATTTTAAGGACGCGAAGTCTACCCATGTGCAGCCTCGAAATTTCCCCCAAACCAAGGACGCGGCCTCGGTGGAATTCCAAGTATGCTGGAGATTGGAACAGTCCTTCGGCGGCACTCGATGACGTAGCATCCTTGAAATATTGGCTTGGAAGCCAGTATAGTCGAGATTGAGAAACGGCCAGAGGATCTATGAATGCGACGAAGCAATTCATGCCGTTTTATTGTTTTTAACGTTGAAATGACAAGTGCAACAGGTGAAGATGAAGTTGTTGCGGAATTGTTGTGGGTACCCTTTTCAAGACGACAATTCAGTGAAAAGACGGACATTATAATGCCGCGGGGGGGGGGGGGGGGCGGCTGCGGCGGCAGGGGGTGTGTGTGTGGACAGAAGGTCCAGTTGTGATAGACACGGTTCGCCACTGAGTCTGTCAAACTTTTCACAAAGGTTCACATATTGACGGTCACCTTTTGAACACGCATGAATCTATATCTAATATGAGGATAACTGCTCCACATTTGAATGTAACAGGGTTCAGTAAGATACATCGATTGTTGATTTAACTGGGAAGATAGACAATACAATTATTTCTCCAGCTAAAATCTCATAAGCAACTGTATTAATCTCTTTTCATGGTATTTGCTGACACTATGAATTCAGAATATCATCAAAATCACCCATATCTTTAGTTGCTGGTTAATTCAAAATAAAACTTTTGATAAAAACTGTATCCACAAGCCAGTGCTGCACCACATTTATAACATTTAGTGATGAAATATTGCTGACGTAACTCTTACTATTACTATTTCTTATGGCGGTGGTAGCGATAAAACAGCCATTCTCTCTGGCCTTCTAGTCAGAGCAGAGCATGACACCTGACTACTCCCTGTGTTTTTGTTTTTTATATTTCTGTTGTAAATTATTGTCTTTTATTGTGATTGTAGTAAAGTGTTTTTATTACATGTACAGCACTTTGGCTCGACCAAAAATCGCTTTTAAATGTGCTATATAAATAAAACTTGATTTGATTGACATCTGGATTAAACACTCAATTTAAGGAAAGCACAACTATCTAACAGTGTTCAAAGTTCACTGTTGGGGGGTTATAAAACAGGTATGGGCCCCCTGCATGACCAATCACAGGCTTGTCTCAGGACTGTTGGCCATGTCTCCATTTTGTGTTGGCTCTTTCAAGAACTTTTCCACTTCCTGTGAGTCCACTATTAAACTTGCTGGCCTGATCCTCTCTTCTTTCTCTTTGTCTGTTTCCTCTTTCTCCTTCAACTCCTCCTTTGTCTCCTTTTCTTGCTCCTCTCTTGCTCCCTTCTCTTCTTCGTCATTGACGTCTGGACCTTTGCTGCACTCCTCTGTCACTGTGATGTTCTCAAGCTTGTCTGCTGATGCTGAGGGCTGTTTCTTGATAAACAGGAAGTTACATGTAGCCAGGACCACAGCTGCCAGGACCACCTCGCATCCTGCCAGCAGGAAGATCCACATGTAGTTATGGGTGGCATCAAGAAGCCGGCCTGACAGAGAAGGAGGAGACAGATGAGAGGATTACTTAGGTTACCAAACATGGCCTAACTGTGTACTGAATAACAGAGGAGAGGAACACATGGATAGGTGCATGGATTTTGGTTTGGTCTGATATTGTTAAGCAATCGAATACTGTAGCTTGTCACTAATCTAATTGAAGCTAATTATTCTTCATGAAACTGAATGTATTAGGGTGTTGTTCAACGACTTGTGAATAATAATCCTCCCCAATAAAGTATTATGGTTTTGTTTCTGTCTGCGTTTACCTAAATGAACTGAAACTAATTTGGCGAGCTTTGAGCAATCAGTGCATGGTTGACGTTCCAAGCACCCAGTGGACTCTAGGGAAGCAACACCTTGGGAGTTCACTGTTAAAATCCTTTCTTTTGGCGCCACTAGATGACACCGTTTTGGCCTTTTAGTAGCTGATAAGAGTTCATGTTTAATAATTTCCCTAGTTGTAACAACTAATATTATCTCCAGTACTAGCTGTATCTGACAATATAAAACCCCAAAAAGGCTCAACTACAAAAGCCCATCACACAAATTGCCTACTTGTTCCTGTTTTCAATGGACTCCAAAGTCAGTAGCTGCAACCCGCGGTCATGTGGACAGATGCTGTATGTCATTACTAAAACTCGTTATGTTTATTAAGAAAGTGCTTTTAATGTTTTTGCACCTTGATCTTGGTGTGAGCAACAGAGACACATTAAATAATACTACTTTACTTGCATGGAAAATAAAACAGGATTAGAGACTATCTAACCACTAATTGCACATGTCCTGGAACAGACACTGCTAATTAAAAAGATAACAATGTAATTTGCAGGTGTTTTTCAGTCTGTTGCTTGCTCTTTTATCTAAACTTCACAATGCTGTCTTGGCCCCTTTCTATATCTCAAATGGGAAATACTTTGAATAAAGATAATGAAGGTTAGAAAACATTTATGGGTTGTAGGCTCTGTGCTGACTGACCTGCAGCAGGCGGCCCCACTAGCACAGCGATGGCTTCCATAAGCAGCACCAGGCCAATGGCACTGGAGAACTTCTCTGTACCAACTATTGCCATGAGAACCTCAAACTGCAGGGCCCCCACCATGCCGTAGGAGAGGCCAAAGAAGATGCAGAAGATCACCAGCGTTGTGTAGTCGTTGGCCTGGGGACAAATCGTGACACGAATTGTAAAGGACAATCTAAATGTAGGGTTAGCTTTGAAACCAGACTTTCCAGTTGATAACGAGTTAACCATTACCAACCTGTGATCCAATGAGGTCAGTGATTCCGTTGAAGATCATAGCAAAGCTGAAGAGGTAGACGCAACGAGGACGCACCCATTTCATTCCAGCTATCAGACCACATGTGGGCCGTGCAAACATGTCAATGAAGCCCAGGATGGAGAGCAGAAGCGCTGATTTGGTGTCCTCATTCCCCAGCTCCTTAGCATAGCTCACGACAAACACCGGCGGCACAAAGAGTCCCAGCACCATGATGGACGCCGCCACGGTGTAGATGACAAAGCCCCGGTCTTTGAACACAGAGAAGTCCAGCATTTTGGCTTTGGGCTTCTTCTTCTCTGCTTCTTCTTCATTGTCCTGTTCCAGCTCCTTAGACTTGAGCGTCTTTGGAGCAACCAAAGGCCGCATCAGGGCCGCGCACACACAACAGTTGAGTAGAATGCCACCCAAGATGAGGAAGCTCCCCCTCCATCCGTACTGGTACTGGAGAACCTGGCCCAGTGGAGAGAGGCAGCACAGGGCCACAGGGCTTCCTGCTGCTGAGAGCCCATTGGCCAGGGGACGCTTCTCACTGAAGTAGCGGTTTAGCATAATGAGCGATGGTTGGAAGTTCAGGGCTAACCCCAAACCTGCAGCAAAGGAAAACAAGTTCCTTATATTCTTTGACTTTCTTTAGGCAAACATGCATTCAACTGTCTTGTTTTGTAGGGGATGTGTTCTTATAGATGTGTCACATTCTAAAATACTTTATACTTTATGTCAGCTTGAATGACTAAGTATGGTAGGTTTGTTCAGGAGAAATGTCAGCAGAGCATCAAACCTGTTATGACCCCAGTAGAGAGGTAGATGTGGATAATGCTGGTGGAGAAGGAGGCCAGGATCATTCCCAGAGAAGCGAGGATGCCTCCCACCAACATCACTGGACGACAGCCGAAGCGGTTCACCAGCACACTGCACAGAGGACCTGATGAAGAGGAATAGACTGTGTGTGAGTCAAGCAGAAAGTATACGGGCCTGACAAATACCTCAAAGAGAGAAAGAGAAAACCAGTTGTACTTGTTATGACATGTAACACTATTTAGCTCAATCATACAATGTACTCGATAATAATATAGTAATATGAACAAGTATTTCGTTTTATAATAATCTTAATACACAGGTACACATTTTGAAAATCAACTTACTGGTATTAACATTCTGGTCGAGAGTTAGATGAAAAACAATATACTCTCATGTGTACATACATGTGTGTATTTGGAGTGCCTTGAGTGTACAGTATATGTATTGTATTTTACAATTTGTATTGTACTGTATATGTATTTTACTGCATGTATATTGTACATATGTTGTACTTTATGTATTGTACATCGTATTCTGTGTATATTGTACTGTCTGTATACTGTACTGTGTATTTTGCACCATGTGTGTTTATAATACTGTGTGTGTACCGTCTTTGTATTGTATTGTGTATATTGTAATGTGTGTATATTGTACTGTGTGTGTATTGTACTGTATGTCTTGTACTTTGTTTGTATTATCCTGTATATGCATTGAGCTGTGTGTACTGTAGTGTGTATGGGTTATACTGTGTGTATAGTGCTGTGTGTATTGTGTTGCTTTGTTTCGTGCTGTATGTGTATTTAACTGTGTGTATATTATACTGTGTATAGGTGCTGTGTGTGTAATATGCTGTGACCTACCGGAGCCGTAGAGCATGGCCAGCAGGATGGAGGAGATCCAGGCCGTGTCGCTGTACCCGACATCGAACTCCCTGATGAGCTCTTTGAAGAACACACTGACTGCTTTAGGGAAGGCGTAGGAGAAACCTGTGATGACAAAGCAGCCGACCAGCACCGCCCAGCCCCACCCGCCATCTGGAGCCTTCACCCCCCCTGGACCCTGCTCCACCGCCGTGCCGCCCATGGTGCTCTAGGGCTGTTGCAATGGAAGTACACAGAGAATCTAAAAAGAAAAAGAAAATCACAACAAGCAGTGTTCTTGCGCTTCTCTTGAAGTACAGTTCATTCTGCAACGTTTTTGTCATGATAATATGGGCCATCAGCAGTTAGAACTCAGTAATCCAAAGTGTACTATCACGGTTTTAAGTTTGTGTGTCTGGTAGTGGGTGTTTTTCTGTTCTCCTTGTCATGTTTTCCTCCCTGTATATTGTCTGGTCTTTTTTCCCTGTGTTTTCCTGTCTGTCGTTAGTTTCCCTGGTGTGTCTAATTTCCTGATTGTTTTCACCTGTCACCCCTTCTGTGTCTCCTGTGCTAATCAGCATCAGTCCCGCCCCTGATTGTTCCCACCTGTGTCTTGTTACCCTGTTTAAATTCCCCTGTCTCCCAGTGTTCACTGTCAGTTCGTTTTCGTCTCTTGTCATGTTCAGGTCTGTGTGCTATGGTCTCTTGCTATGGTCAGGTCTATGCTCCTTGTGCTTTTGAAAAGTTTGATTCCTCACTACGTGAGCGCCTTCATTTTTTGTTCTCTATTTTTGTCATCTCGGCTAGAGATTTTATAGTTACCTTTTTTGTTGTTCAATGCTGTTTTGGAAAATAAAGTATCTTACAAATACTTTACCTCTGTCTCCCGGGTCTTGCAATTGGGTCCTACATCCTAAGTGTCTGAGTTCGTAACTTGTACACGCGAAGCATTTAACATGACCACTTTGACTAACACGTTCACTTGTCTTTAGCTTCACATTGTTTGCCCTTAGAGCCCCAGATGTGTAGAAAAAGGATGCAACATTATGCACTTTATCTGTTGGTAGGGATGATGCTAACAGTTGGTCAGAGAGGCCCCCCTCACAGGTCTTCACAGCGACACATCATGTGTACCAGCACTGGTTGGCAGAGCAGGGGACAGGAGTTCCAACAGAAATGAGATGATCCAACAGGAGAATAAAAAGGATAGAAAGAATAGTTGCTGTTGCTACTGGTGTCATTGTTTACTGTGTACAATGATAACAGTTGCACATTAACCAGCCACATTAAAGCGACAAAATCTAATTCTCAGTGGAAACTGGTGGCTAAAATAACGCTTTGATCATCTGTAGCTCACAAGCAAAAGCTCAAAGGATGCCTACATGCTATAAGGTTGAGGCTAAAAGCTAACGTGTCCAATGCGAAAACTAAGCATCCTCAACATTCATCCATGTAAGGCATTGAAGAAAAAAACAGCAGTGTTCTTGTCCCGCAGAGTAGAGCTAGTCGTTTCTAGTACACATGTAGAACGACTCATTAGATTTTTTACGTGCCTTAACAGCAGCTAACATCTATGGGAATCAGACAATCATGGAAGGATTTTCAGCCACTTATCAAATATGGTGGTTCTATATAGGCCTATTCAAAATGTTCGTACTGATATTTTGTGCTACCGTTTTGAATAAATCACTATTACCTGATTATAGACTATTACGCATGAAATGGACTGGTATGATTTAATCTGAACACTCCATCCATAGCAGTTTAACTGTTTCTAACATTTCAGCTCATCAGCTTCCGTATAACCAGTCCAGCAGTTACCAGAGCAGCAAGTGTGACCGATTATGACTGGGACTGCACCATCTTATTCTTAGTTATGGGACAGCACTGTGTGATTAATAGTTCCTGGCCTCTGGAGCCAGACATGGCTTTTACCACCACAACTACAATTTAGCACCTCGTCCCAGAACATGGGACAATTCTCTCTAGACATCTACAGATCGAAGCACTAAAGTCACTTTGGCTCAGTGAGGAAAAAGCCAGTTGTTCTATCAGCTAATTTACAACCTCTTAAAGAGCTGAAGGGGTTGAGTTGTGTGGGAAATGCCAGCTGGGCTCAGGACAATTCAGCCAACAATCCAGTGTCTCTGGGTAACATGATCATTTCCCACCTCATGCTAACGGGAATGTGACGTTCCCAGTCAGTCCCAGGGGAAATATGTTTCATTCGTCCTCTGCATCTCTCTTCAAGTTACACTGTGTGCCAAACATCTAGTTATGGAGGCTGCTTCACCCATCAGCAAACAACTCAGGTACTCTCAGATTAGCAGACGGTAGTGGCTTGAAGTCCTCAAATATCCTCCCAACAGCAAATTACACATTTGCTTTTTGGATGAGTTGAGAATGACCCAAAAGGCTAATGTACTGAAATGTGGTATGTTATGTAACTTCACAAGCAGTATGAAATTTGCTCTGTCGTTCACAGGATAAACAAAGGCACATATTAGAAGCTGTATAAGCGGCCAAGCAACCCAGAATATCTGCAGTCCTGTACCACAATGGACATATCCTGGGTAGCGGGTTCTGGCCAGCAAATTGGGAGTTCCTGTGTCAGGCACCCCAGTGAACGTCTTGATAGTTCCTGTGTCGTAAAGTGCTGACGTCTTGATAGATCCTGCGTCGGGGGTCCTGGCATCATCTCGACCTGTGTCAGTGGCCTTGTTAAAAAATGGTCCTGTCTCAGTTTTGGTCCCTTCTAGTGTACCAATCGGGTCCTGTCCATGTTCCAATGTGGGCTGTGTTTAGGCTTCTGGCTGACATCTCGTAAATGTCTGTGTCAAAGGTCTCATGCAAAGTCTCGTCAGTTTCTGTGTATGGGTTCCCGTCCTACATCTAGTCAGTTCCTGTGTTGAGGGTCCTGTTCAACATCTAGTCTGTTCCTGAGTCAAGGTCCCCTCCAAAGTCTTGATAGTTCCTGTGTCAGGGGTCAAATGTGTTGTTAGTTACTGTGTCGGGGCCTGTCCAACATTTCTTTGGTTCCTGTGCCAGATTTCATGCAAGGCATCTGGTTAGTTCCGTCTCATCAGTTCTTAAGAAGGGGTCCCCCCTGAGTCGGGGGTCATGGCCGACATCCTGTTGGTTCATGTTTTAGGAGCCCGTCAACCTGTTCTTTAGTTCCCCTGTCCTTTCTAGATACTTACACCAAATAAAGTGCCATCATGTCCTTCAAAGTGAATCGTAACCCAATTTCTCACTTGACCAGACCACACCCACAGGATTCACTTACACTTAGAAATCTTGTCTTTCGACACTATTCTTCTATTGGTAGTCAATCCTTCCTCAAAATCACCTGAACTGCCCTCTCCTCTCCTGCTGCTGAAACCTTGATCCATGCCTTCATCACATGCAAAATCGACTGCTACGACAGCATTCATTTGGCACGTAATCCAAACTCCTAAAGTACACCGAGAATTCTGATGCTCATCGGCTACATCACCCCTGTCTTCCATTCTCTCCATTCTCTCCCTGTCTCTCAAGGCATACATTTTAAAGCCCTTTTCCTCACTTACAAAACCCTCCACAACCAGGCCCCCTCCTACCTCACTGACCTGCTCCATCACCACAATCCTCCTCTCACGCGAACATCCTGTTTCCGCCTCACAGGACACTGGACATGGCCGGACAGAGCCTTCTCCATCACTGCCCCCTCCCTCTGGTAATCCCTCACCAAAACCCCTCCATGACTGCACCCATCTGTTCATGTTGAAATCACACATCAAAACTCACCTTCTCAGAAGTGTGTTGTATATTTTAAGTATGTGTTTGTTTTGATAGTTTCAATGTACATGTTGAGTGTCATTGAAAAAAAGCATTTACTGGTCTAGAAATTAAAGGTTTTAGTTTTTGAAACTTAAATATACAGTCTTGACTAGTTTCATCCATACAGGGGAAGATCCTCGGCACAAAACTCTGTCTCGACATGCACTGTTCGCTGGCATTTTTTAATAAAGGTACAGCAAAATTGACAAATTATGCGAAATTATGTAGCTATTAATAGTCAGGTGTCACTGTGGCTGTGACAGATGCCTTCCTGCTTCACTCACACTGACCGGCCCCATATTGACTTGCACTCATATGTACGCAGGAACATTGTGCACACAGTAGAGATGTTAAGATTCACCGATTCGCATCGGTGCACCGGCATAAACGTTCAAGATGCGAGTGCACCGGTTGAAAGAGTGCACATCGGCTACAGTTTGGGTTGAACCGCGTTGAACTCGCGATGCATCGAATGCGTAGCGTCTTTGCATCGGTAAAAAACCGATTCATTCATATAAAATTCCCTCATCTTGTCAACGCTCAGTAGAGACGATATTTGCTTTGCCACTACGGAGGCCGAGAGTCTCAGTTATCAACACACACGGAAGTTGAGGAGAAAGAGAAACACAGCGCACCGAAAAATACCTAAAAATCAAACGTTTGGCAACACTTCGGATTGTTCAAGAAAGACGGTGTAATAGTCCTTTATGCTATATAGTTGACCGCAGGTCATGGAGAGTAATAAGGTATCCGTAGACCTTTGTATGAGGTATCTTTATTACTTAACAGGTCTACAGCCATGATACATAGATCCGTCCTAGATGCGGGCTTGCATACACACAGTATCACTCCGCAGCCGCACCCCATCAGTAACGTCCTGATGGTATATGTGCGCGGCACTATATACTACAGACGGTCAACTTGAAAAATCGCTCGCAAATTGTTAACGATGCCGAGCCGCTTTAAAGTACACAAGTAGTACGAGGAACTGAGCGACGCACATAAAGAGGCGACATGGGGTCTGCGGCTGAAAAGAGAAACCTGAAAGTTAGACATACGAGTTAAATCACTCAGTGAGGAGTTCTGTCAGAGAGATGGTGTTTAGTTTACAGCAGCCTGTGACGGCCAATAATAATGTAAATGTCTTCCTTACTGTAAGCAGTTATGAAAGACCTGTTTGTGAAAGGTTCTTTGTATTCTTTATTGTTCATATAGAACCCACTGCTTTCTGCTCACTGGTGAGTTAGCCTATGAATGAGTGTTAAGCACATCAGGCTGGCAGCTGTATGGGCATTGCACTATGGTAGCTGTTATTTTCACATTGTTAATCATGAGCAATGCATCCTTACATTGTTGGATGTGGACTGTGAGGTGTTATAGAATTGTACTCTGGAGAGCTTTTAAAGGCAAAAAAATAAACGGCATGATGGGATGTGCAGTACCAAATATGTAAAGCACTTTTTTGTTAATGTATGATTTGCTGCATATAAGGAATAAAACAAAAATCCTCTGTCGTACCATATTGAAGTATCATTATTTTTGCATCGTGTTGAATCGCATCGTATCGCACCAAATCGCATAATGTTGAATCAAATCGTATCGAACTGTATCACAACAGGGGTGAATCGTATCGCATCGCCTAGTGTTTCAAATGTATCGTTAATGTATCGTATCGTGGCAACGTATCGAGATGCGCATCGCATCAGCCTCAGTGATGGAGATGTACATCCCTAGCACAGTGATCTGTAGTGATGTCAGAACACACGCAGTGATGTGAGTCTCTTACCGGCTGATGCTGCATAGAGATGTCCCTCCTCAGCCTCCTGTCTCTCAGTCTTTATCCTTCTCCCAGCCTCCTGTCTCAGACCCTCTTGTTGCCTCCGTCTTCTATCCCTCTCCCAGCCTCAGCCTCTCAGTATCTGTCCCAGCTCCAGCCTCCTGCCTCAGCACCGGCGCTGCGTTCCTCCCTCCCCGCACGTCTGCCCGCAGACCATCACCAGAGCGGAAGAGCATCTGTGCTGCTGGGTCCTAATGCCCCCTCAGTGTCCCTGAACGCTATTTCTGGCCTAATGTTTTATTCACACACTGGGTACACACTACACACAGGCCCGGACTGGCCATCGGGAGGACCGGGAGGTTTCCCGATGGCCTGGCCTGCTAAGTGGCCTGCTGGCCTGAGGACTTTTTATTTATTTATGTAGGCCTATGTATTGTGTATGGAGGACGGAACATGACTTAAGTATAAATAAATAAATGTATGAAGAAATACAGGAATAAATAAATAAATACGTAAATAAATAAATAAATACAGGAATAAATAAATACAGGAATAAATAAATGACGAAATAAATACAGAAATAAATAAATGTTGAAATGAATACACAAATAAATAAATAAAAGAATAAATGCATAAATAAATGCATAAATAAATATGGAAATAAATACATCAATGTATAAATAAATAAATAAAAGTCGAAAATAAAACAGAACACACGTTATTATATATCTTTCATTTATTTCTACATTTACGCAACATACATTTATTTATTTATGTATTTATGTGTCCGTATGCTAATGAGGTGGGCGGTCCTAACCTCAGTCTGAAGCAGGATTGGTTACAGGAGTGTGTGATCATTTCTGGCAGAGGGCTCTACTACTAACGCCTGGATAACCGCGCTGATTCGAATGCAGGAGCTTTACTGTTTAGCCCTTATCTTTATACATCCATGGTTTATCCACAGTTGTAAGGTTTATTTATGGATATTGATTTAAGAGCCATTGGAGATCATTTACGATCATTAGCGGACCATTTAGAGAACGGAGAACCAAAAGACTATGTCCAGTTTCGTGTGGAACGATGTATAGAGGACTTGGCTCAGCTCGACATGATGTGACTTGCCACAAATCTATTGCTTCTGCCTGGCTCCAACAATTGGCGAATCCTGCTTCAGACTGAGGTTAGGACCGCCCACCTCATTAGCATACGGACACATAAATACATAAATAAATAAATGTATGTCGCGTAAATGTAGAAATAAATGAAAGATATATAATAATAACGTGTGTTCTGTTTTATTTTCGACATTTATTTATTTATACATTGATGTATTTATTTCCATATTTATTTATGCATTTATTCTTTTATTTATTTATTTGTGTATTCATTTCAACATTTATTTATTTCTGTATTTATTTCGTCATTTATTTATTCCTGTATTTATTTATTTATTTACGTATTTATTTATTTATTCCTGTATTTATGTACGTAATTTATTTATTCCTGTATTTCTTCATACATTTATTTATTTATACTTAAGTCATGTTCCGTCCTCCATAATTGTGAACGCAACGCTGCGCAAATGTGCGTCTGACTTTGCCTCACAGAGGGTGACTGGCTGTCTACATGATGTGGCCTGCCGACATGGCCACTTTCATACAGATCATACTAATGCCCTCGATTGGTCTCTGTGTGTCATTCAAGCTCGGGAGGGTGTGTGTTATGCAGGACCGTTTCTTCCTATATGCGGACTATGCGGGGGCATAGGGCCCCCGCGGCCACTAGGGGGCCCCCAAGCTGAAAGTATTTTTTTTTTTATTCATCCGATAAACAAAATAAGTTTAATTCATACACACAAAGATGAACAAAATTAGTAGAAGCGGGAGGGCTGAAGCATAGCTTGTGGAAAGTAGCCCTCCCGTGCATCATCCTAATACAGCGGCATTATTGCGTCAAAAACGTATAGAAATGAAGGAGTACAAAGAAATTAAGAAAACAAGAGAAAAAATTAAATAAAAGTTAGGGCAGGAAAACAATAAATGCATATATATATACGAAAACTAGATATAGGGTCATTTTCTGCACATGTCAATAGCAGTTTCAACTATCTTTTTTTGGAAATTAATGCACTTGGCAAATGAATAATAATAATAATATATGCATAATTGCATATAAACATTGTGAACACTTATTTTCAAGTGACCTTTTTTACATTCATATGTTCACGCTGTGGTTTGGAACTGCTTTTGAATGTTATTAGGCATTTTGTTATGGAAAATGTTGTGCATAATCAGTACTGTTTTAAGCTGTACTATCTCAACACGTTTTAATAGATTGAGTTTTTTTAAATATGGGAGTTGTGTGTTCATATTTACCAACACCACAGACTATTCGTAATACTTTTTTTTGGGATGTTATTATTTTTTGTAGATTTGTTGAGTACGTGTTTCCCCATATTTCGGAGCAGTATTAAAGGTAAGGGAGAAATAGACTGTTATAGAGAGTATATTTTCTTCAAGAATGTTCTTAGTATGATACAAAATACCTATTGTTTTTGACAGTTTAGTCTGTATATAATTTATATAGTGCTTCCAATTGAGTTTTTCTTCAACAAGCAGTCCTAAAAATGTACATGCACCAACTTTTTCTATCTCTGTATTGCAAATCCGTATAATGCAGTAATTTCTGCTCTCAGACTTTGTATTGAATAACATGTCATTTGTTTTGGCCACATTAAGGGATAATTTATTAACTGCAAACCAGTTACATAGTATTTTTAATTCTGCATTCACAATTTTAACAAGATCGCCAAGATTATGATGTGAGCAGAGAATTCAAAGTTCAGGTTCAGCCTCAATATATTTGGGGAGAATTAAAATGAGCCGTCTTTATTTGCAGACAGCCAAGCCCCCTCCTGTGAGTGGCCGGTGAAGCATTATGCTTACAAATCCAATGTAGGATATAAACACGACTAAACTGCAATGATAGCAAAACTGTGGCTTGGGTTTTTGGGGTAATAAAGTCCAAATCAGCCTATGTATCTGTATGATTATTATTACTTTTTGTTTTGTTACTTCCCATTGTAAAGCGTCCTTGGGTTTCGTGAAAGGCGCTATATAAATTGAAATTATTATTATTATTATTAAATCATCGTTGGGCTGACAGCTGAGAAAATGCTGCATCTCTTGCATTTATTGACATAGAGGAGCCTTATTGTTTACCTTTTTAATATCATTTTTTGTCATTTTCAATTGCTTGGTTTTCGTGAAATTAGCCTGATTGATGCATCTCCACAGATCATCTTAAAGGTCCCATGTCATGCTTTTCCGGTTATTACCAGTGCTGGAATTGGGCCGGTACTCACCGGTACGCAGTACCGGCACTTCTGGTTCTGACCCATGGAGTACCGGCACTTCTTGCTCAGTACCGGCATGCTGGCGGTACTCCGGTACTCATGCACCGTGCCAGTACTCAACACTCTCCCGCCGTTCTTATTATACATCCATATATATATATACAGCCGCCCGGTACTCAGTAGATGCGTCATGAGGTGCCGAACGGACATTCTCATCGCTCTAACCGCTGGAGTTTCACAGCGGCTGTCAGCTGTTTACTCCTGTCATTCAAACAGAACGTGCTGGAGAGGGGGCGGGGCTTATCTTCTCCAAGTAAATACTGTGGTGGAAACGACTATGTCAAAATTAACCTATTTGACCGTGATTTAATAGTAATACACGTTTCAAAATAATAATAATAATAATGCCGAAGTAACAACATACTGAAAACTGTTAGTAAAACCATGTTTTAATGCTTTACAATTTACATACCTAGATGCACGTGTGTTGTGTTTATGCAGTGCAACTCCCACCCAGTGGGTGGCTATGTAGAGTGATAGAACAGAGCAGGCACGCCCCCGAGAGAAGGAAAGCAAGTCACGTCACAAATGAGCATTTCTAAAATGTTAGCGTGGATTAATAAAAGTGCAAAAAGACAGCGGTTGTCGCCGGAAGAAACTTCAAATACAGAGAATGCTGTGCCTGTGTTGGAAATTGTGTCTGATGGGGAGCTTTCTTTGGTTGATCCTCCTGCTCCAAGTTCTAGTGCATTAGCATTAGCACTAGCTCCGCCGCCTCCTCCAGAGCCTCTAACGTTAGCTGCTGCTGGCGCAACTGCCACCACCAACACCGGGCAAAGCGATGCACCTGACTGCTGGACAACGGACCAGGTGCAATATTTTTGCAAGACCAATGCATGGCTCCTTCTTAAAGATAAGAAGCTAGGATGTCGGATATGCAGAGATGTCAAATCTTTGGGAATACACACTGGACAAGGACTGAAACTGTCAACTGAATGGGGTGAGTGTGCAGTGTCTCATTTCGGTGTTGACAAGGGCAAACAACAAGCTAGCCTGAGAAAAAAAATCAAAGAACATAAAGAATCACAAGCCCATGTAAAAGCTGCTGACATCCTTACATCTGCTTCACGTGAAACTATTCAACATCAAGTGCAGTCTATGCATAAATCTGAATTAGACACGACTATCAGAGTTTTTCGAACGGCATATAAAATTGGCAAACATAGCCGGCCATTCACAGACATGCCAATTGATTTGAATGTACAGAAACTGAATGGGCTGAACGTGGGCAGGGTTTTGCACTCCAATAAAACCTGTGGCGAAATCATCGACCACATAGCTCATGAGCTGAAGAAAAAAATGGCAAAAGACATTACAGAAAACCAAAGAAAACTCTGTGTTTTGGTCGATGAATCTACCACTATTAGTGGTAAAACGGTGCTTGTTGTGTGTCTACGCTCAGCATTAGCTGATGCTGAGCCCGAAACGTTTTTTTGAGAGCTGATCGAGTTGGATGGAACAACGGCTGATGACATCACAAAGGCGTTAATGGAGTGTCTTGGAAGAGATTTTAACGAGGACTTTTTAGGTCAGTGTTTCGTTTCTTTTGCATGTGATGGGGCTTCAGTCATGCTAGGGAAGAGAACAGGCGTTGCTACCCAGTTGTGTAGTAAATTCCCAAGCCTGTTTGTGTGGCACTGCTCCAATCATCGTCTAGAGCTGGCAGTTGGGGATGTGGTCAAGGAGGTCTCAGGGCTCAATCATTTCCAGATCTTTTTTGACAAACTCTATTCCTTGTTCCATGCCTCCCCCAAAAATCAGAGGCAGTTAGCGCAGTGTGCGCAAGCAGTCGGACAGCGTCTCCTGGTGATAGGGCGTGTTTTGTCCATCCGCTGGGTGGCTTCAAGTGAAAGGAGCGTCAGAGCAGTCTGTGAAAACTACCGAGTACTTCATGATCACTTCACAAATGCTGCAAACGACACGAGCAGGGATTCCAGAGACAGAGCAAAGTACAAGGGCCTGGATGATGTGCTCACATCTGCAACGTTTGTCAGCAATCTGGGACTGATGTACGATGCGCTCACAGAGCTCAGCAACCTCTCTCGGCAACTCCAAAAAAGAGAGATGACACTGCCTACAGCAGATAGGCTCTTAACTCGAGAAATACGAGTTTTTGAATCCATGGTCACCATGCCTGGCCCACACATGACTACAGTTCATACAGCTCTAGCTGAGAAGTCCTTCAAGGGTGTTGCCCTGCGTGAGAATGGCAGGCTTGTACAGATTCATGCAGGTCAGTTTTTCCGCAGTATGGTAGAGAATCTGAGACACAGAATGACTTCCACAACCTCCTCTCATGTCAGCACAAGAGAAATCCCATTACATGGCCGGGAGGCCCGGGACAATCAGCTAATCCAGGACATGAAAGTTATCCATCCTGGAAGTTGGCCTGAAGAGGAGTTAGACGTACAGTATGGGGACGTAGAGGTGCTACGTTTGTGCGAAGTGCTGAAAGTGGACAGAAGAGAGACTGTTCAGGGCTTTCGCGAATACAAGGAAACCAGGGCATCCCGTACACCTGCTGCCATGGAGCCTCTACTGAAAGCAGTCCGAACCATCGCTGTCTCCACTAGTGAGTGTGAGCGGGCATTCAGCTGCATGAACGATATCCTTACTGCAAAAAGGAATGCTCTCTCTGTCAGCCGACTGTCCAGCCTGGTTTTCATTAAATGTAATGGACCATCACTAGGACAGTTCAATCCGGAACAGTATGTGAGGTCCTGGCTGGCAAAGGGAAGGAGAAGTGCTGATGAAAGAGCCTGTCCAGCTCCAGCCCCTGATACTGATGTCCCCAAGGCCTTCTGGAGCCTTTTCTAACAATGTGAAGTATATTGCAAAGCAGCTCACCCAGTGAGAAGACTTTTGGCATAATGTGCCGATTTGTACAGATCCTGGAGATAGAAGGACTTCAGACCAACCAGGGAGTTATCTGATCAGCTTGGTGTTCAATGTAATTCTTTACCATGGCTCAGACTTTGTTACTTGCAGTTACAGTTTCTCATTTTAGATTGTGCAAATTTTGCATTTGTTTTTACATGTTCTTTGTTCATGCTCTTTATCATTTTTCTGAGTTGGAAAGTTAGATTGCATCATAGTTTACTTTATACATATTTGTATTCTTCAGTGGTGAAGTATATTGCAAAGCAGCTCAGCCATGTGAGAAGACTTTTGGCACTTTTTCGTTTTCTGAGTTGGAAAGTTAGATTGCATTCAAAATGTACAGAAATACTTAATTTTGTTAAAGCTTTTTATAAAAAATGCTTCTGACCAGAGCTTTGTTTCCTTGTCATTAATGTTGAACACCACCAGAGGGGCTCTCACCTGAAAGGTCTCTGCTTCATGTGTCTTCAGCAGAAGATCTAGACTTTGATTGCTATATTTTCAGTTAATATTGACCTTACTGAGCTTTAGCCATATCCGCTGCCTATCAAAAAAAAAGTACAGTGAACCTTTCTAAAATATACAGTAGTAAAGAGACAAACCCACCAGCATTATAGTAGCCAAATTCTTGTTTGTGGGCTGTATATATAAAATTGACTTGAAAAAGTTGCTGATTTTAGAGTACTGGCACCTTTTTCATTCCAATTCAAGCACTGGTTATTACCCGTCCCCTTGTGTGTTATGAAGGTTTTTTTATGCATGTAAACGGTCTGCAGAGTCAAAACCCTCAAAGTACAACCTGTAGCGAGTAAAACTCTAACACAGAAAATACCTCCCCAAAACGCCTCGTTGGAGATACGTCACTGTCCATTGATTCTTCCGGGTAACTCATGATGTCATGCGTTACCCGGAACCAAATGGACCAATCCGTGGAGCCGTTACGTTACGTCTGCGGAGCCGTTACGTTAAGCCCCCGCTGATTGGTCCAAATTGACCAATCCACGGACTTCCTCACACACTCAGTGCAGGCAGCTCTGCTGATTTCTCCTCCCTGGCTGCAGGCTGATAACAGACAGTTGGGATCGCGGCGAAATTCTCTCTGCAGACCCATTCTCTCTGCAGACCCATTCTCACAGCGTTTATCAACCTTTTTCTTACTCAATATCAAGCCACACTTATTGTTTTTACTTCGGCTGTGACTTTGTGTGTGCTCAGGGTGAGTTTGGCTGTGTTTCGCTGTGTATCGCTAAACAAGGAAACCACACCTCCACGGAGCTCAGCTCGATTCACAACGTCCCAACCAATCAGAGCACACTGTGCTCACAGTTTGAGAAACCAAAGTGATTTTGGAAAATTGCACAATATAAATCTATTCTAGACCTCAACAATGGAATTATGATCAGTGGAAATGGCCATGACATGGGACCTTTAAAGGCTTCAGAATCCCCCCCATTGTAGTCAAAACTAGGGCCCCCAAACAGCATCTTGCATAGGGCCCCCAAAAAGCTAGAAACGGCCCTGGTGTTATGTGTGGCGCAAGCGAGTGAGATAAAGCACGCGCACCGGTTACGTGTATTGTTGTTGTTGTTAGCATCTGGTGCTAGCTAGCTGCGCTAACGGATATAAGGAGCTTGTTCAACAACAAGGTGGAGGAGAGTCCTCTGCTGTCAGACTGAGAGACTGATAACTACAGCTCAGGTGAGGTAAAGGACTCTCTGAGTGTTTAGATAGTTAACTTAGTCTAAGTTATCCCAGTGGGTCTCAAACGGTTTGGTCACCATTTATGTAAACACATATTTCCATTTGAGGGGGGAGTGATTAGTAAAATATGCATGAATAATATATAAAAAAACGTTAACTAGGTGAAAAAAAGGTAAGATAAACTATTAAAACTTGTTGAGAGCTAAAACTAGTCTTTGCTGCTGCCTCAAAGAGGAGCAGGGGGGAGACAGGTGAGGCTGGTTCAGGAGCCCAGACACACTCACAACTATAAATGAACCAAAAACAAATAAATAAACAAGTTTCAATGTTTTTAAAAATTGGATATGGTATGTTATTGGTTATGGCCATGTTCTTATGATTTTATGATTATTTAAATGTATACAGTTCTGTTTCATATAGGTGTAGTCTCTCTCTTTATTTCCCCCTCAAAGTGCACCAGATTGATGCATTTAAGTCCAACATTAAAAACAAATCTTACCGGGGGAGCATGCCCCCGGACCCTCCTATAGGAGTTGAGGTCCACCCCCACTTAAAATATGTTCACATAGGTTCCTAAATAGATTTGCAATTTTTTTTAAATAGTAACCCATGTCCATATGTTTATTATTGGGTAGTAGATGTAGAGGGCTATCACTACGGGCAGCAACGCTGTAAATATTGACAAATAAATCCAGCAAAATGGCACAAAAAACTGGTAGTGGCCTGGGTGTGTAATTCCCGGCCTGACTTATTGTCCCAGTCCGGCCCTGACTACACATATGATATGATGGCGGGTATAAAATGCGCAGGCTTACGTTGGAAACATGATGTACGCCAGGCAGTTACTAAGCAGAGGGAGAATGTGCATCCCTTCACGGACACTTTGATCCATGCATGCGCACATTAGCCGCTTTCACACCGCAGGACTTGCGGTACTTTACACTAAAGTACCACGGCACTGAATCCGCCAGGGGGCTAGTGCCATAGCCGCATTCACACCGCAGGACTTTCCCTGAGGCAATATTACGCTGACGTCACTTCGTCTTCTTCTTCTCTGGGTTTACTGGCAGGCCGCAAAACCACTTCACGGCGAGTACAAAAAAAAACGAGAGAAGAAGAACTACAGGGGGAGGGGGTATACACACCTTAGTGCAAGTTAGGTGTCAGTATTAAAAAACAGTGGCAATATATATATATAATAACAATAGAAAATCGTTACCACTCTTATTATTGTGGTCTTTAATTTTTTTATAGTCCTGCCTGAGTTTCTTTATTTTTACCCGGCATCCGTGTGCACTGTGCACGATTCCCAGCTCAAGTAGCTTTTGCGAACATCGCTCAAAACATTTAGAGTTGGGAACTGCTTTCTGTAGAAGCTGCTGCATCCCGTCCTCGGCGTAAATTGCCAGAAGCGCCGACACTTCCTCATCATTCCACCGCTCCGGTGTTGTACGTGTAGTCATGCTTTAAAGTACAAACAACCTATTCGCTCAGGTGTGGATGTGGTTTTGTAGCGAGGAAAAAAATGGCTGCCTAACAAAACAAATTCAGAGTCTAACGGGGCGTGGTTTGCAATTCGCCCAGCCAATAGAAATAGAATAGAAATTGGCACTCTTTTATCACCAGGTTAGTACCACCTCTCTAGCAGGGACTAAAAATGGCCAAAAGAGTGAGTAGCATGAAGCTGCAGCGTCGGAGACGACACACACAGGTCCCGCGTCACGGCGGCACGTGACGGAGCACGTTCACATGAATGTGAACGTCAACGCAGAGAATGTGAGTAATGTGTAGTGCTTTTACAGTTTTATTTGTTTAACATTAATAACAATTCCGGTGTCTTGAAATGAAGTGTGATTAGCCAACATTAACTATGATAGTGTTAAGGCAATACAAACAAACATCTGTTTGCTTATGATAGCTTCTAACCGTATTAAAGTCTCTAAAAACAACTATTCATTAGCTATAGCTTTCGGCAAAAGCATTAGCAAAAGCATTAGCTTCTTTAGCATATTTGATCATTTGTTTAATGAAACTAGCGTGATTTGGCAAGCCCAACTAGGTGTCATAGTTGATTAATTGAATCACTAATTACAGTAATAGTGTGAGTAATGTGAATCATGTTTTTTTTTTTAAGTTAACAACTATTCTGTTGTATTGAACAGCCATACAAGCAACAAGTGCTAAATGTCATCTGTTAGCCTATGATGACTCGCTGCAAAACCAACTGTTAACCATTTTGTTTATTTGTTTAATGAAACCGTATGTTATGGTTATGTTATTTGACAGAGGCTTTTATCCAAAGTGACTCACAAAAAACATAAAATAACCATAATTAACATTAGAATTTCAATACAAATAGTTACATAGTCAAGTTACATTACTTATTACATTTTTAACAGGGTAATTACTCATCTGTAACCTACTACATTTAAAAAAAGTAAACTTCCCAACCCTAATGATTAATTATAGTCAGCTAATTAATTAAACTTCAACGGATGACAAAAGCATGTCAATATGTCCACTACATTAAATCAGCAGTAGCCTAAGTTCTGTCTTCAGTGTAAATGCTTCTTTAATAATCATTGTATTACAATTTGAATTCATTGTAAATAATCTTCACTGTGCTGACTGCCTGTTTACCGTTTATCAGACAGTGTCATCATTTTGACATGTTTTGTAATATTGCATGAGGTGTTTTAGTCAGTTATGTCGGCCTATTCTGTAGGTTAGAATCTGTCGTGTCAGAATCTAACAATTAAGCCTAATTTATGTCTGTCTGTGAAATTGTTTCAAAATGTTCAGTTTGACCAATTAGGCTCTCTCTTTTTCAAGATGCATATTACAATCCGAGAGGGGAGATCCTTGCCGGACCTTCAACGGTGCACGACGTGTTGCAATGACTTCCACTGCCCGTTCTGTGTCTCTCGTTTATTCTCTCCAACAAAACACTGCAAGGTGAAAAGCCATCTCGAGAGCCACTTCCAGCGTGCAGTTCTCCATGAAGGTAAAGTTAGCTTACATTCTCTTGTGAAATGCAAATGGAGTTGCAATGTGTCTGCATTAAAAGCAGCCTAAATGTTATGATCAGTTCCATTTGAGCAATACATCAAAACAAGTCCTATGATTTGTTTGTGGTGACCAGTTACTTGATCCAGATGTTTGGTATTCATAATTTACACTTTTAAATAATATGATCACAAAATAATAATACTACAATTCTATGTTCTTATGTTTAAGGGTATACCATTCACAGATGTGGATTAAATTGCCGACCAGACTATCATTTTCACTGCTGTTACTGCCAATCCATGCATACTCGCAAATCTGGCTTTGTAAAGCACCTCGCTTTGTGCAAGGCAAAGCACTCTGCCATAACCCCCATCATCCCAGATCCAGCAATCCCCATCATCTGCACATCATGTACAAATCATCATGTGACGGAGAAGACTTGGGGTTTATCTATCAGTCATGTATTTAATGTTATCTTTTTTTGATGTTGATTTTAGGGCTTGCCACGCCAGATCTGTGGAAATTACTGCGGGATTTGTATGCTTATGGTAGGGTATCAGTTGGCACGTTTGCAGGCTTCTGTAAACATTGTAAATATAATGCTTTGTTTTCCATCTTCTCTGTTCCAGTACACTCTGTCCATTGTTACAAACGCCGGGTTTCAATTCCAGGAGGTTAGTTTAGGATTTGTATTTACTAAAGAAGTAAATGCCTACTTAAAGTGTTGCTTATGTTGCATCATACTGTTCATGTTGAAGAAAAATGATTTATTGTGGACATTGTGAATCAAAAATTGTTTTTGTCACTTTCTAATTTCATTCAGAGGGACATGCCTTTGATTAGGAAGTGGTGGTGTCTTCTTCTCATGGAGCTGTTTGAAATACAAGGGTATGAAAGCCCTTAACAATATGTGTGTTTTGATTTAAGTAACACTTTATTTTGAGGGTCACTTGTAGATGATCTATTATATTAGGTTAACCATGTACAGATCAGTAGACCATCAGTAACAAGAGCTGTAAGACTCTGGATGGCAATATCTGTTGAGATTATTAATGCATATCAATTGTGCACCAATGCCTTAGCCTTTCCCTCTGCAATACTTTAGATGACGTCTTGTTCTTATTGTTTCAAAGGCATGGCCAAAGGTTTGCCTTTTGGACTCTGGAGGCCAGAAGCTTGCTGGAGGGAACCCTTCAGCCAATATTCAGAGTGCCACGACCAGAGAGGGAACAGCAGACCCCGCCTCACCCCCAGTGAAGAATCAGCAGACCCCGCCTCACCCCCAGTGAAGAATCAGCAGACCCCGCCTCACCCCCAGTGAAGAATCAGCAGACCCCGCAATAAAAATAAATAAAAATGTATTCTGAACTGAAATGCCTCTCGGTCAAACTGCTTGTTTATCTTTTGCAGGCTGGTGCATGAACACACTAACAGTTGTTTTTCAGTAATCTAGCACCTCTTCGAAGACACCTTTGATTTATTAATAATAATAATGAAACGAGAATTATGATACTGTAGAAGGAACAGTGTTTAACAGTGTTGTTTTCTTTTGAATAATAATGAACCGAGAATTATAAACATACCCAAAACTAAATTAACAGTGTTGTTTAATATACATATAAAAGACTATATTTTTGAAATTCATTTTTATTCATTTTTGAAATTCTCAACTAAATTAACAGAATATACATATAAACATTCATGTGAACGTGCAACAGAATATGGTTCCCGTCACGTGACGCAGGTCACGTGGGACCCCGTCACGTGACGCGGGGACCTGTGTGTGTGCTCGTGACGCGGGACCTGTGTGTGTGGTTCTACAAGTGTCGTCTCCGACGCTGCAGCTTCATACTATTGAAAAGAGTTCCAAAAGAGTTCCCGGCACTGAGTAGTCCCGGCGGTGTGAACGCGACATTATTGGTACTAACGGAACTAAAGAACCAAAGTACCAGGGAAAGTCCTGCGGTGTGAATGCGCCTATTGGCTGAACAATTATTAAGGATGAAAACAGAGAAATGGCAAAAAAAGAAAAACCAATAATAAATAAATATTACCTGTCTTTTTTAAGACTTTATTTGCAAAGACGGATTATTGTAGCGTGCAACAATTACAATTTGTATCGAAGCCAGAGTCCGTTATTGCGTTCCATTTCCTTTACAATTATGGCAAAAAGTCAAACTAATATCCAGGCATAATGCTTTTGTTAAATAAATAAAAAATCAGTCGCAAGCGTTGCATTTGACAAAATGAGGGCTCCCTATTCGGCTCATTTTCGTCATAAACAAAACTAAATGAAGTGTATCTTCATGGGTGATTTTAACTACCATTAATCCACACACCCACATTAACCAACACTGACATAGTGACAAGGTGACAACTCAAACACATTCCTTCACATTATTCACTTGGTAAGGTTTATTTCAATTACTTTCTATACTGATGAAAGTTAAACTTAGATTGTAACTAATGCTTTAGACTAAATGTAGAGGAGTAGGCTACAAAGTACAATATTTGCCTCAGTTGAGTAAAGAAAGTCCTTCAAATCTTTACCCAAGTACAGAACTTGAGTAAATGTACTTAATTCCACTACTAGTAACCCCTCAACTGCTCTGTAATTATTAGAGACCACGATGATTGCATGTTATGAGATTTGTTCTCACACGTCTATAATAAACAGTATACGACTAATGACGTTTGAACATAAGCTGTTTTCGATAGGTCGGGCAAATAGTAATCTAATGTTAACATATGTCATATTAAGTTGTTTTAATGTAGGCCCATACATTTATATGGCTTTGAGTTTTTTCACATACTGAGAGTCGTGAGAGTCATCCGCAACGCCAAAGAAGAAAGGGAATGAGCTCCAAAACACCCAAAGCTGGTCACCTATTATTCAAAATCCACTTTTTCATGTCTTATATACATCAACACGAAAACAGGAAAAAAGATTCGCTCTCTTTTTGTCCTGATCCATTTATATAAAAACCTGTCTGAAAATGAGCTGATCAGATGTTGGACACTTTGTGATGTTACAATGTTTTTTAAGGATTGTGCGACCATTAGACAATAACCAACCAAGCCCACACCCGCCCACCTTATCACCTGAATCTCCTCCTAGAGCACCATTTAAAAAAACAAAAACAATCATCTCTCAGATGGGCGTGGCCAGCAGCAGCTCATTAGCATTTAAAGCTACAGAGTACAGACACAGAATCAGCACTTTTGGAACAGGGCTGAAACAGAGGGGTTTATGGCATGATGCTACGACATGATCTGTTTGATATTTCAGCCAAACACTTCAGAGACATGTTTTGTATATATGTGAGACCTATAATATATTGTTGAAAAAGATTATATTAGGGGACCTTGAATATAAACATTTGGACAAGTGCAGCTTTAAGAAGTAAAGGGACTCCTGCTTTGGGGCATTTTTGCTTGATTGACAGCCGTCTTTCTGTATCAGTGAGTTGTGGTGATTGCTTGCAAATGACGGCGTATCCAAGCCCCTTCAAATTATTTTCTTATTAACACTGACACTACATGTATTTTTATACGCCATTATGTGGATATTAATCAACGTTTTGATACTCCACTGCTGACATAATAGCATTCATGCTGTATAGCAGGGGTGGCCAACCTGCGGCTCTCGAGCCCCATGCGGCTCTTTGCCTAGTTTCATGCGGCTCTTCAGTTCATATTGAATTTTATATGTGTGAGTTTGGGGGAGAGACACTGACTCCTGACTAGTGGTGCACGGTGTACCGATACTTGATAGGTATACCGCGATACCCTGCCGTTAAAAACGTTACGATTCCTCCGTTTAAGAATGACGGCGGAAAGTACTCCGGTGAGAAAGCGCCGTTTAAATAAGAGCTGTGTGTGTTCAGCGCTCTGCTTCCACTCCCTGCACTGCAGCCGTGCCTGCAGTCCCGCCCCTCTAAAGCACGCTCAAGTGCCTCCCCGCTCTCGTGCTAGCTGCCAGAGCATGTGAGAAAACGAGAAGCATGGCTGCAAGTGGGAGTGCAGCTGCCGCTGCGCCTCGGCTTGTTGACAAAAAAGACGCCAGAAGCGAAATGTGGAAGTATTTTAGCTATATCTCTGACAGTGAGGGCAAGCCTACGGACACCACGAGGCCTGTCTGTAAGAAATGTATTAATTTTATTTAATACGAATTCTTGTCATTTATTGTATTTATTGTTCTCATTGTTTAAAGGTTGTGTTATGGTTCTGGTTCTGGTCTGAAATAAAGCACAATAATTACATTTAAGACTGTTTCCCTTTTTTAAGAAAAGTATCGAAAAATAATCGGAATCGCAATTCTTGACTTGGTATCGAAACCAAAATGTTGGTATCGTGACAACACGACAGTTAAACCTGATATTTAGTAGGTCTGTTAAGTATTGAATGCTGATAATTCTGACGTAATTTGGCCGGTCAAAGTTGTTTGGGCTCGGATAAAATTGCTCCGTTACTTTCGTCCCGGCTCTCCCTACGTGTGTATGTGTGGTGTCAGGTGTCAGTATGAGAGGATGACAGCGCGTCTAATTTTGATGTGGCCCAAGAGCCAATCACAATAATACCTGCGATGCAGTGAACCAATCACTTTTTGAGGGGGGGGAAACCTATCGTTGATTAAACACTACTATCCAGTGTTTCCCCTACCATTGTCTTTGAAGGGCGCTGCACCCCGCCAACGGAGCCCCGCGCCCCCCCCCTAAAATTCAAGGTGTTTAAAAAATATATATAATTTTTTTTTAAATATATATATATCGCACCAAATTGAAAATAATCTATAACTACTATCACTTTTCACATTGAACATGTGCTCTTTTATTAAATAAACTAAACGCTTTCATTTTAAGTTGTGAATTTAGTGTTTTTGACCCTAAGAAACACTGATGCATTAATCAATAACAATAATCCACAGCTCCTCTCTCTGCTCCAGAGGATTTCAAAAATATATATCCCAATGCCACAAAAATGCATCAGTGACGTGGTTGAAATCTTGTCTCCAGAAAACAAAAAACTGAAACAAGCGGTATCAGTGACTGTGTGTTTGATGTGGCTCTTTGCAGTAACATAGAAAAAATGTGGCTCTTAACCTCTGACTGGTTGGCCACCCCTGCTGTATAGCATTGCTGCTTTCATTTTATCATTCATGTGGAGTTGGGATTTCATGTGTGCTGAGCTTCATGCATTTAACCCCTTTCCAGCATGATGCATGTATAATATAGTATGGAAATCCATTGTCTCCAGAGGATGGTTCCATGCGGTCTAAAGGGCAAATAAAACATACCTACAGCACCTACAGCTTTCTCTTCAGTCATCCCAATAAATAAAAAGAAACACATACAAGTACTTATTTATTTACACTTTTAAAATACACAAATACAGTGGCATTACAAATGAGGAGCATAAGTCTTAAGGTGGGAGTGGAAAGAAAGATTTCCCTTGAATCCACAGTAAGAGATATATCCACTGCGCAGTTCAAAGCCAAACTGGACCGCAGGTGACAAACTAAGAAAATAAGTGAGAAGCAGACATTGAAAAAAACATTATCCCTTGTTTAGTGTTCCTGCATCTATCATCGCCATCATCAGTGAGACAAACAAGCTCACCCGCCACTTTAGATTGTTTTTCAAGCCCCAATGTGAGCTGTGTAATGAGGCGTTTCCAATCCCTCCGTATTCCGCCTCCATCATCCGGACGTGGCAAACAGAGTAACACCTTATACACGACAACAGAACAAGCATGTACAACCCCCCCCCACACACACAATTACAGCCTACAACCAGTAGTCTATCACATCAAGGATGTTCTACTTTAAAGTCTGCAGGTCTCATTGGTCATTCAGAGGTGACCGAAAAAGTCCAACATGGCTCGTACACGCTTTCTTAAGACAGCTCTCCATAACCTCCTTACGTCCTTAAAGCCTCTTAAAAGCACGGCGGTCCATTTTCTACCTGGACTCTCACATTAACTGATCCTAACGCCTTTCATTTAGTTTCATGTCATAAATGAATCATGTGAACTGCATGACTTCACTTCTGTTGCTTACAGTGCAACCACGTAGCTACATGTTTTAACAGTCAGAAATGGTTTGGATAAAGCATGCTTTCACATCATCAGCGATAAAACGGCTACGCTGACATTGTTTTGTTTCTATAAAGAGAGCGATGTTGCCCGACTACGTGGAAGTGCTACCCTCATGTGTCACCCACCACCCCAAATTGTCTCAAATTATTCAAATGGTTATTGTCTCTAACCTTTCAAAGTGTAACTACTCAGATAATCTGTACGTAGCAGTGCAAGCTAGCAATGGAAGTAACCATAGAAGCAAAACTAGCTAGCCGTTTTTTCCGCAAGGCTCTGCG